AACCATCAACTCACTCACCACTCACTCACCAATTGTGTCAACCATCAACTCACTCACCACTCACTCACCAATGGTGTCAACCATCAACTCACTCACCACTCACTCACCAATGGTGTCAACCATCAACTCACCACTCACTCACCAATGGTGTCAACCATCAACTCACTCACCACTCACTCACCACTCACTCACTACTCACCAATGGTGTAAACCATCAACTCACCACTCACTCACCACTCACCAATAGTGTCACCATCAACTCACTCACCACTCACTCACCACTCACCAATGGTGTCAACCATCAACTCACTCACCACTCACTCACCAATGGTGTCAACCATCAACTCACTCACCACTCACTCACCAATGGTGTCAACCATCAACTCACTCACCACTCACCAATGGTGTCAACCATCAACTCACTCACCACTCACTCACCAATGGTGTCAACCATCAACTCACCACTCACCAATGATGTCACCATCAACTCACTCACCACTCACTCACCAATGGTGTCAACCATCAACTCACCGCTCACTCACCAATGGTGTCAACCATCAACTCACTCACCACTCACTCACCAATGGTGTCAACCATCAACTCACTCACCACTCACTCGCCAATGGTGTCAACCATCAACTCACCACTCACTCACCACTCACCAATGATGTCACCATCAACTCACTCACCACTCACTCACCAACGGTGTCAACCATCAACTCACCACTCACTCACCACTCACTCACCAATGGTGTCAACCATCAACTCATCACTCACCAATGGTGTCAACCATCAACTCACCACTCACTCACCACTCACTCACCAATGGTGTCAACCATCAACTCACCACTCACCAATGGTGTCAACCATCAACTCACTCACCACTCACTCACCAATGATGTCACCATCAACTCACCACTCACCAACCCCCCCACCCACTCACCCAGCTACTGATGCGACTGCCGCACCTGGAGATACAATCGACCCGGCGATCCTCTGGACTGCAGCTCAACGTTATTTTTGTATATGGGGCAAACCGGTAACCGTGTTTATTTTTACCGGTTTCCCCACCTGCACGGTGTCTGCGATATGCAATAAAAGCCGATTTGAAGAAGTGTATGAAAGCTCGCACGTAAACGGTGGTCACGTGTCTGTGACACGTGACGTGGTGGCTAGAGAGCGGAGCCCTGGGGCAGATACACAGAGACACACACACAGAGAGACAGACACAGAGACACACACACAGAGACAGACACAGATACAGAGATACACACAGAGAGACAGACACACAGACAGACAGAGACACACACACAGACAGACACAGAGACAGACACAGAGACACACACACACAGACACAGAGACACACACACAGAGACAGACACAGAGACACACACGTAGAGAGACACACACAGACACACACACAGACACACACACGTAGAGAGACACACAGAGACACGCACAGAGACACACAGAGACACACACACAGGTACACGTACACACACAGGTACACGTACACACACAGAGTCACACGTACACACACAGAGTCACACGTACGTCGCCCTACCTGAGTTCGAGTCCTGGATGGAGTTTGGAGTAGGAGGAGTCCCCCTGTCCCGGCTGATGGTTCTCGCCTCTCTCTCTGTGTCGACTAAAGCCGCGCCGACACTCGGCCGCTTTAACCAACCACGCATAGAAGGCCTCTGTGTGGTATGTGTGTGGTGTGTGTGGTGTGTGTGTGGTGTATAGTGTAGTGTGTGTAGTGTAGTGTGTGTAGTGTAGTGTGTGGTGTGTGTGTGTGTGGTGTGTGTGTGTAGTGTAGTGTGTGTAGTGTAGTGTGTGGTGTGTGTGTGGTGTGTGTGTGGTGTGTGTGATGTGTGCTGTGATGTGTGCTGTGTGTGGTTTGTGTGGTGATCGTGGTGAGGGTGGTGAGTGTGTGTGGTGAGCGTGGTTCGTGGTGAGCGTGTGTGGCGTGTGTGGTGAGCGTGGTTCGTGGTGAGCGTGGTGCGTGGTGAATGCGCAAAAAACCACCACGACCACCGCCGCCTCCTCGCTTTTGGCTCAGTGGCAGGTGTGGTGGCATTGTTCCGAGAGCCTGGGTCATTAATTATGCATCGTTAATTCCGCATTAATCACGACGCATTGTCCGTGGCCACGCTGGGGAAGGCTTCGGATGCGATTGTCCGCAATCCCGAGGGACGACGATGACGGAGTGCGAATTTGGGCCCTACCGACGCTTATCTCGGTTCAAAACGAAAAGCCGGCAAAGTGGCACCGCAGTACCACGCCATCGCCTGGGAGCGCTGGGAGCGTGGCCACGGGTTGACTTGAACTTCACCCACACACCCACACCACCCACAGCACCACCCACCCACCCACACCACCACCCACAGCACCACCCACCCACTCACACCACCCACCCACCCACAGCACCACCCACCCACTCACACCACCCACCCACATCACCACCCACCCACTCACACCACCACCCACCCACACCACCACCATCACCACCCACACCACCACCACCCACCCACACCACCACCACCCACTCCCCCATACCACCACCCACCTACACCACCACCCACACACACCACCACCCACACACTCACACCACCACCCACTCACACCACCACCCACCCACACCACTACCATCACCCACCCACTCACACCACCACCCACCCACACCACCACCCACAGCACCACCCACCCACTCACACCACCCACCCACCCACAGCACCACCCACCCACTCACACCACCACCCACCCACACCACCACCATCACCACCCACACCACCACCACCCACCCACACCACCACCACCCACTCCCCCATACCACCACCCACCAACCTACACCACCACCCACACACACCACCACCCACACACTCACACCACCACCCACTCACACCACCACCCACTCACACCACCACCCACTCACACCACCACCCACCCACACCACCACCCACCCACACCACTACCATCACCCACCCACACCACCACCCACAGCACCACCCACCCACTCACACCACCCACCCACAGCACCACCCACCCACTCACACCACCCACCCACAGCACCACCCACCCACTCACACCACCACCCACCCACACCACCACCATCACCACCCACACCACCACCACCCACCCACACCACCACCACCCACTCCCCCATACCACCACCCACCCACCTACACCACCACCCACACACACCACCACCCACACACTCACACCACCACCCACTCACACCACCACCCACCCACACCACTACCATCACCCACCGACTCACACCACCACCCACCCACACCACCACCCACAGCACCACCCACCCACTCACACCACCCACCCACCCACAGCACCACCCACCCACTCACACCACCACCCACCCACACCACTACCATCACCCACCCACACCACCACCCACCCACACCACCACCACCCACTCACACCACCACCCACCCACAGCACCACCCACTCACACCACCACCCACCCACACCACCACCCACCCACACCACCACCCACACCACCACCCACCCACACCACCACCCACTCACACCACCACCCACACCACCACCCACTCACACCACCACCCACCCACACCACCACCACCACCCACCCACACCAGCACCCACCCACACCACCCACCCACACCACCTACCCACCCACACCACCACCCACACCACCACCCACCCACACCACCTACCCACCCACACCACCACCACCTACCCACCCACACCACCACCCACCCACACCACCACCCACCCACACCACCCACCCACACCACCACCCACCCACACCACCACCACCCACCCACACCACTACCATCACCCACCCACACCACTACCATCACCCACCCACACCACCACCACCCACCCACCCACACCACCACCACCCACCCACCCACACCACCACCACCCAACGACACGACCACCACCCACCCACACCACCACCACACAATAAAGCACACACAATGAAGCACACACACAATGAAGCACACACACACCCCCAGGGGTCACGTGCACCCCCAGGGGTCACGTGCACCCCCAGGGGTCACGTGCACCCCCAGGGGTCACGTGCACCCCCCCCCCCCACAGGTGAAGAACCACTGCTAGTAGATGAAACCCAGGCGGTAGAAGTTCAACAGAGCACCATCGGTGCCGGATGTCGGGACATCAATTGGCTGCTGCTGCCTGAACGAGCAGGTGGCTCCGGTTCCAGGGCCACGTGACGCAACCCCAACGGAGCCGCCCAGAGGTTCCCAGAGGGCCCCGGGGCACAATGCCGCGTGACACCGCCACCCCCCCCCCCCCCCCGATCCATCTTCATTATCGACAAATAAAGCTGGGCCGCTGTGGGGCCCTCTGTTTGTGGGAGGCCCGGAGCGAGTGGTCCCTTTAAACTATTGTTTATTTGACCGGGTAACGGCCCACTGAGCTACGTAGCTTTGTTTTTTTCTTACAGGAGCGACCTGGATATCACAAATGATAAGCTCAACGCCAGTGGACTACACCTCATCGCGTGGAAATGTACAGCAGCAGCAGCCAAATGCAGGAGTCTTAAAACTGCGTGACGTCGATTCTAAAATGTGCAAAAAAACCGGAGCCGAAGAAAAATCCACGCGGCCTCGGGGATAGAAAGACGCCGACTCCAAAAATACAGCAGCAGCAGCAGCAGGCAACGTCAGGGTCGGGATGGAACCCACGACCTCCTGCATACCAGGCGAGGTAGTTAACATCTCCTAGCCACCGTGATGATGATGAGAGACGCAGACTCCAAATGTACAGCAGCAGCAGCAGTCATCGTCAGGGTCGGGATGGAACCCACGACCTCCTGTACACGAGGCGAGGTAGTCAACATCTCAGTCACTGCGGGAAATTAGGCGCTGCACACCCCCCCCAACCCCCTTGCTGGACTCTGGGCGGCCGCGAGGCCCCCACACCGTCACCCCCCCACCAGCGCCACTCACAACAGAAGAGCAGCGACACAAACCAGCCGGCGAGGCTCGCTGTAAATAACAACTCTCTCTTTTATTATTTATCGTCACGCGCGAGTGTAGTAGTTGTAGTAGTAGTTACGCTGCCACTGCTGCGTGGCCACCGGCCTGGGACAACAGAAAAGGTCAGCGGAGGGCGAGCGAACGGACGAGCGGAGGGCGAGCGGGTGGACGAGCGGAGGGCGAGCGAGTGGACGAGCGGGCGAGCGAGCGAGCGGGCGGGCGGGCGGGCGGGCGGGCGAGCGGGCGAGAGGTTTCCGTGCGTTACTGTGGGGGTGGCGGAGAGAGAGGTTCGTGAGCGGAACAGCCAACCTGATTCTAGCCCTGATCACCCCAGCCAACTGGTACTCGTGCTACCCATAACCCGAACCTCACCTCGCCCCAATCCCTGCTAGCTAGTCACTAGTACTAGCGCTACCCATAACCCTAACTACCCAAAGTCACTAGCGCTAGCCATAACCCCAACTATCCAATCAGCCACTAGTACTAGCGCTACCCATAACCCCAACTACCCAAAGTCACTAGCGCTAGCCATAACCCCAACTATCCAATCAGCCACTAGTACTAGCGCTACCCATAACCCCAACTACCCAAAGTCACTAGCGCTAGCCATAATCCCAACTACCCAAAGTCACTAGCGCTAGCCATAATCCCAACTATCCAATCAGCCACTAGTACTAGCGCTACCCATAACCCCAACTACCCAAAGTCACTAGTGCTAGCCATAATCCCAACTACCCAAAGTCTCTAGCGCTAGCCATAATCCCAACTAGCCAACCAGCCACTAGTACTAGCGCTACCCATAACCCCAACTACCCAAAGTCACTAGTGCTAGCCATAATCCCAACTACCCAAAGTCTCTAGCGCTAGCCATAATTCCAACTATCCAATCAGCCACTAGTACTAGCGCTACCCATAACCCCAACTACCCAAAGTCACTAGCGCTACCCATAACCCTAACTACCCAAAGTCACTAGCGCTAGCCATAACCCCAACTATCCAATCAGCCACTAGTACTAGCGCTACCCATAACCCCAACTACCCAAAGTCACTAGCGCTAGCCATAACCCCAACTAGCCAATCAGCCACTAGTACTAGCGCTACCCATAACCCCAACTACCTAAAGTCTCTAGCGCTAGCCATAATCCCAACTAGCCAATCAGCCACTAGTACTAGCGCTACCCATAACCCTAACTACCCAAAGTCACTAGTGCTACCCATAACCCTAACTACCCAAAGTCTCTAGCGCTAGCCATAATCCCAACTATCCAATCAGCCACTAGTACTAGCGCTACCCATAACCCCAACTACCCAAAGTCACTAGCGCTAGCCATAATCCCAACTATCCAATCAGCCACTAGTACTAAGCCTAACCCCAATCAAGTAGCCGTCCAGAGCCACTCCGCACTAAAACTAAACAGCAAGCCACCGAGACCAACCCCACCCATGACCTTGACTCGTCAACCCAGCCACTGCTGCAGCCCTGAAGTTAACGCAACCAGTCACTAACCCCCCTCCCCCCGCCACCGACACCAAAACCCACACACAACACGAACTCGCGAGCCAACCGGCCACCAGAACCGGCCCTGCCCAGCCCCGCCCCTAGCACGACCTCCCCTCCGCCCGCCCGCCCGCCCGTCCGCCGATCCCGGTGGCGCGCAGCAGCGCCGCGGGACACTTTGCCGTCTCGCCGGCCACGGCAAAATCGGCGCTCGGCCCGGTCACGCAACACGGCGGCGGCGGCGGCGGCGGCGGCGGCGGCGACACTTGAACAGCGAAACGTAGCGGAACAAAACCCCTCTCCGCTTGCCTCTCAAACCTTTGCATAAACTTACGGGGTGGGGGGTGGGGGTTAAGTGGCTCCGGGCTCCTCGCGCACTGCCGTCATGGCGTTCACGCACGCCACCGGTGAACGGGAGGTGGGGGGAGAGGGGGGGGGGGGTGCGACCGTCCGGGTGAGCAGTGTGGGGGTACGCGCTGGCACGGCGCGGTCAGGGATTTGGAGGCGGGTACTTAGGGCCCGGTTGGCCGGCGAGTTCAGCGGCCTAGCGGCAGGGTTTGGGAGCGGCGACACGCGGCCCCCTTCAAGGACTTCTTCGCGACGTTGTCCATCGAGGACCCACCGGCCGCCACGTAGTCACCACAAGCGTTGCGGCTCTTGAACATTTTTTTTTTTAAATCAAATTCGAAATATAATGCCGCCCAATATTTCGATTGCCGACCCCCTGGTTTAGGGGCTGGGGTCCGCGGGGAGAGCCGCGCGAGACTCGGGACTCGGGAGTGGGGTCCGGCGGACAGTGCGACGGGTAGCAGTGGAACTATTCTCCCGTTGGCTTCCCCCACCTCCGACGGCAAGCTCAGCCTCATTCACCTTGCACACGTTCACGGTTCCCCAAATGCACCGCCGCCGCGCCAGCAGCGTCCTTTAATCGACGAGGCGAGCGCCACGAGGCTCGGCGTCTCCCTGCGGGGGGCTGGCCCGGGACAGGGGGCGGTCGCGACGCGATTTATAATTTTTTTTATGAACCGGAGAAAGGGGGGGGGGGCGGGGGTGGGGAAAAACGAAAAACATTCATCATCCCATTTTGTGTTTGGGCGACGCCACTCGCGCGGCCCAGCGTCCTAGACCTCGGTGTGACGCGTCCACCGAGGTCTTGCCGCCTTTCACATCTTAGCAGGACGCGCGGCTTCGTCACCGAGCAGCCGCTCGCTCCACCATCGAGAGGGGGGCAGGGTCAGAGGTCACCACGCAGCGGATTAGTTCCTTGGTTACCGTCACACGGCGGGGGGCGGGGGGCGGGGGGGCGGGCGGCGTCCCCCCGGGGCCCGACGATTGGCACCGCGCGTCACCCTTTCACACACGCACGTCGTCCGGTTTGTGTGCTCCACGGGAACGGCGAGAGGTCGGAGGAGACCACCGCTGTGACCCCTTGCGGGAGTGACCCCTTGAGGGAGTGACCTCCCCCCACCACGGGAGTGACCCCCCCTTGAGGGAGTGACCTCCCCCCACGTGGCCACGCCATTCGGCAGCACTTGCTCGTGGTGACGGTGCAACGGGGCCGTGCCCGGTGACGGTGATGGTGGTGACGGCGGTGGCGGTGTTGGCAGGTGAGTGTGACCACGATGTTGGTCGGTGGCGGCGGCGGTTACGACGATGGCGGTGATCATGGTGGCAGCGGCGGTGACGGTGACGGTGGTGCTGGCGGCGGTGGTGATGACGGCGGCAGTGATTGTGGTGGTGATGACGACGATGGTGGTGGTGGTGGTGGCTGTGAAGGGGAGAGAGAAGGGCAGTGGGCGAGCGTGCTCTGCGGGGAGTTGGGGAGGGAGGCAGAGAGAAGACGGGGGGGGGGGAGGGGGAGGGTGGACGAAGGTGGACTCAGTCGTCGTCCACGATGTGCTGTAGGAGGAAGTTGGCCGCCAGGTTCTCGTTCTTGTCGCAGGCGAAGTAGGCCTCCATCGCCAGGCGCCGCTCAAAGCCCAGGCCCATGAGCTGCTCACGCACACACACACAGTGCGCAGAAGAAGCACACAGTGTAAGCAGCAGCACACACACACAGTGCACAGCAGCACACATACACACACAGCAACACACACACACCAGCACACACACACACAGCAGCACACACACAGCAGCACCACACACAATCACAGCAGCAGCAAACACACAGCAGCACCACTCACACAATCACAGCAGCAGCACAAACACACAAGCACAGCAGCACACACACACACACACAACAACCGCCATTCACCACTAAGTGGCGGTGACGTCACTACGACGCTTGTGCCAGGCTATGTACACCCTGATGCCACGTGAAGTGTCGAACGCCCGCTGGCAGGAGGTCACGGGGCAGACCCAGGTGCCACGGGTCGACTGACTGAGATGACTGGCTGATGCACCACCTGTGCCCCCTACTGTGCCAACCCGCTGTGCTTCAGCCACCCGGCGCTCCGCTCGTTGTTGTGAGCGTCGCTCCTCCGCCCTCCGTTGTTGTTGGAGGGCGACTGCCTCCAACTGCCCAGTAGCGTCCTTCACGAGCCTCCTCCACAGAGGCCGATCTTGATACCGCTGGTACCAGTCATCGGCAAGTCCACTCAGCTCCACGTCCTCCTGTACCACATCACTCCATCTCTTCTCTAGCCCGTGCCGCGCCCGTTTAGCCCCCTCGATTCGGCCGAACAAAAGCTGTTTCGGCATGTGGTGGCTGGGCATGCGGGCTACATGACCCAGCCATCGCAGCCTTGCCCGCCGGAGGAGCTCACCGATGGGACCTTGCCCAGATCTTTCAAGGATTTGTGAGCTCCTCACACAATCCAGTCTGGTTAAACACAGGATGGATCGTAGGCAGGCCAGCCTAAATGTTTCTAACCGGCGAAGATGTTCCATTAGGGGGGTCGAGGTTCGCAAGCGTAGAGAAGGGAGGGAATGACCGTGGCCGAGAAGACCTGAAGCTTAGTGCGGAGCGACAGACCAGGTAGCTTCCACACAGCGTTACGCAACCGATGAAAAGCTATTGCCACTCGAGTGATTCGGAGTGAGACCTCTGCTGTTAAACTGGAGCCGCACACACACAGCAGCACACACACACACGCACAGCAGTACACACACACACAAGCACAGCTGCACACACACACAAGCACAGCAGTAGCAGCACACCAACAACAACAACCACCATTCGCCACTAAGTGGCGGTGATGTCACCACGACGCTTGTACCAGGCCATGTGCACCTTGAGGCCAAGTGAAGTGTCGAACGCCCGCTGGCAGGAGGTCACGGGGCAGACCCAGGTGCCACGGGTCGACTGAGATGACTGGCTGATGCACCACCTGTGCCCGCTACTGTGCCAACCTGCTGTGCCCTAGTCACCCGGCGCTCCGCTCGTTGTTGTGAGCGTCGCTCCTCCGCCCTCCGTTGTTGTTGGAGGGCGATTGCCTCCAGCTGCCCAGTAGCGTCCTTCACGAGCCTCCTCTACAGAGGCCGATCTTGACACCGCTGGTACCAGTCATCGGCAAGTCCACTCAGCTCCACGTCCTCCTGTACCACATCACTCCATCTCTTCTCTAGCCCGTGCCGCGCCCGCTTAGCCCCCTCGATCCGGCCGAACAAAAGCTGTTTCGGCATGCGGTGGCTGGGCATGCGGGCTACATGACCCAGCCAACGCAGCCTAGCCTGCCGGCTACATGACCCAGCCAACGCAGCCTAGCCTGCCGGATGAGCTCACCGATGGGACCTTGCCCAGATCTTTCAAGGATTTGTGAGCTTCTCACACAATCCAGTCTGGTTAAACCCAGGATGGATCGTAGGCAGGCCAGCCTAAATGTTTCCAACCGACGAAGATGTTCCATTAGGGGGGTCTACGTTTCGCAAGCGTAGAGAAGGGAGGGAATGACCGTAACCGAGAAGACCTGAAGCTTAGTGCGGAGCGACAGACCAGGTAGTTTCCACACAGCGTTACGCAACCGATGAAAATATATTTCCGCTCGACTGATTCGGAGTGAGACCTCTGCTGTTAAACTGGAGCCGGCCATAAGCACACCGCCCAAGTATGGGAAACTCTCCACTCTCTCCACAACTGCCCCATCACCGATTGGGAGTTGTGGGGGTGGAGTGCCCGATGGTACAAAATACCCAGGCAGGTGCTTAGTTTTGGTGGGGCTGATGATAAGGCCCCATCTGTTAGTGGCACGCTCCAGTCTCAACAGCAGCGTCTCCAACTCCTCCTCTGAATGAGCAGCTATTACCAAATCATCGGCATACATAAAGTGGTTGAGCAATAGGGAGCCATCCCTTGACCGCACCCGGGCATCGATCAGCCTCCCATTATATCTGTACCATATGGAGATTCCCCCGGTACAGCTATTGAAGACTTCCCGAACTACGTGGTCAAAATAGATGTTAAATAATGTGGGAGCCAGAGGACATCCCTGTCGCACCCCAAGGTGTACAGGGAATGGCTCTGACTCCCGGCCACGTAGTTTTACTCGGGCCCGCTCACCATCATGAAGGTCCTTAATGATCGTGAGCAGAGGGTCAGGGACTCCAAAAGCACGAAGAACAACCCAGAGCCCAGGCCTACTGATGGTATCATAGGCCTTGACCAGGTCAATAAAGCAGAGATGTAGGTCTTGTTGGAATTCCCTACACCTCTGCTGTAGCCGACGGACAGAAAATATGGCATCTGTGCAGGACCGCCCTTTCCTGAAACCGCATTGGGGCTCCGCAAGCCTCTCCTCAGCATGCCTGGCAAGGTGATGTTGAATAATCCTTGCCAGCAGCACACACACAGCAGCACACACAATCACAGCAGCACACACAAGCACAACAGCACACGCACACAAGCACAGCAGCACAAACACACACACACATGCACAGCAGCACACACACACACCAGCACACACACCAGCACACACACACAGCAGCACATACACACAGCAGCACACACACACACACAGCAACACACACACACACAGCAACACACACATACACAGCCACACACAGCACAAACACACAGCAGCACACACACACACAGCAGCACACACACACAGCAGCACACACACACACACACAGCAACACACACAAGCACAGCAGCACACACACACACAGCAGCACACACACACAGCAGCACACACAAGCACAGCAGCACACACACAAGCGCAGCAGCACACACAAACAAGCACAGCAGCACCACACACACAGCAGCACCACACACAGAATCACAGCAGCAGCAGCACACACGCACAGCAGCACACACACACAATCACAGCAGCAGCACACACACACACAGCAGCACCACACACGCGCACAGCAGCAGCAACACGCACAAGCACAGCAGCACACACACACACACACAATCACAGCAGCACCACACACACAATCACAGCAGCAAACACACAAGCACAGCAGCAGCAGCACACACACACACACACAGCAGCACACACACGCACAGCAGCGCACACACACAATCACAGCAGCACACACACACAATCACAGCAGCGCACACACACAATCACAGCAGCGCACACACAATCACAGCAGCACACACAATCACAGCAGCATCACACGCACAGCAGCACACACACGCACAGCAGCACACACACACACGCACACACACAATCACAGCAGCGCACACAATCACAGCAGCACACATACACACAATCACAGCAGCGGCAGCACACACACACAGCGGCAGCACACACACACAGCAGCAGCACACACAAGCACAGCAGCACACACACACACACGCACAGCAGCACCACACACACAATCACAGCAGCACACACAATCACAGCAGCATCACACGCACAGCAGCACCACACACACACAGCAGCACCACACACACAATCACAGCAGCACACAAGCACACGCACAGCAGCACCACACACACAATCACAGCAACACACACACGCACAGCAGCACACAAGCAGCAGCAGCACCACACACACACACGCACAGCAGCACCACACGCACAGCAGCACACACACACAGCAGCACCACACACACAATCACAGCAGCAGCAGCACACACACACGCACAGCAGCACGCACACACACACACAGCAGCACACGCACAATCACAGCAGCACACAAGCACAAGCAGCAGCACCACACACACACGCACAGCAGCACACGCACAGCAACACATACACACAATCACAGCAGCACACAAGCAGCAGCAGCAGCACACGCTCGCACGCTCCCACGCGGCGGCACAATTCCAGCAAAGCGACGCGACAGCGATGGCCGATTCCTTCCCGTCCGCGTGCACCCGGCGTTGGCGTTACCCTCTCGATGGCGTCCATCTCGTCGGGCGTGACCTGGATGACCTGCGGCCGGTCTGCGCCCGGCTCGTCTGCGCCGGGCTCGTCGGCGCCCTCCTCGCCTGGCTCGTTCAGCATGTGGATGAACTCCTCCTGGTACTGGCTGATCTCCTGCAAGGCCGCAAGCACACCGGGCGTTCAGTGATTTGGGGGAAAAGATCGAATTGCGATTTTTTCTGACTGTTACTGCGATTTGATTTGCGATTACTTTTTTTTAAGTCAAGCTTCAGTTCAATATTCAGTGTGGAATAGATTTACAACATGTGATGGAGCATTACCACGTGATACCATCAAAATATGAACTGCTCTACAGCGAGGGAAAAAAGTTTTTGATCCCCTGCTGATTTTGTACGTTTGCCCACTGACAAAGAAATGATCAGTCTATAATTTTAATGGTAGGTTTATTTGAACAGTGAGAGACGGAATAACAACAAAATCCAGAAAAACGCATGTCAAAAATATTATAAATTGATTTGCATTTTAATGCGGGAAATAAGTATTTGACCCCCTCTGCAAAACATGACTTAGTACTTGGTGGCAAAACAATTATTGGCAATCACAGAGGTCAGACGTTTCTTGTAGTTGGCCACCAAATTTGCACACATCGCAGGAGGGATTTTGTCCCACTCCTCTTTGCAGATCTTCTCCAAGTCGTTAAGGTTTTCGAGGCTGACGTTTGGCAACTCGAACCTTCAACTCCCTCCACAGATTTTCTATGGGATTAAGGACTGGAGACTGGCTAGGCCACTCCAGGGCCTTAATGTGCTTCTTCTTGAGCCTCTCCTTCGTTGCCTTGGCCGTGTGTTTTGGGTCAGTGTCATGCTGGAATACCCATCCACGACCGATTTTCAATGCCCTGGCTGAGGGAAGGAGGTTCTCACCCAAGATTTGACGGTACATGGCCCCGTCCATCGCCCCTTTGATGCGGTGAAGTTGTCCTGTCCCCTTAGCAGAAAAACACCCCCAAAGCATAATGTTTCCACCTCCATGTTTGACGGTGGGGATGGTGTTCTTGGGGTCATAGGCAGCATTCCTCCTCCTCCAAACACGGTGAGTTGAGTTGATGCCAAAGAGCTCCATTTTGGTCTCATCTGACCACAACACTTTCACCCAGTTGTCCTCTGAATCATTCAGATGTTCATTGGCAAACTTCAGACGGGCATGTATATGTGCTTTCTTGAGCAGGGGGACCTTGCGGGCGCTGCAGGATTTCAGTCCTTGACGGCGTAGTGTGTTACCAATTGTTTTCTTGGTGACTATGGTCCCAGCTGCCTTGAGATCATTGACGAGACCCTCCCGTGTAGTTCTGGGCTGATTCCTCACCGTTCTCATGATCATTGCAACTCCACGAGGTGAGATCTTGCATGGAGCCCCAGGCCGAGGGAGATTGACAGTTATTTTGTGTTTCTTCCATTTGCAAATAATCGCACCAACTGTTGTCACCTTCTCACCAAGCTGCTTGGCAATGGCCTTGTAGCCCATTCCAGCCTTGTGTAGGTCTACAATCTTGTCCCTGACATGCTTGGAGAGCTCTTTGGTCTTGGCCATGGTGGAGAGTTTGGAATCTGATTGATTGATTACTTCTGTGGACAGGTGTCTTTTATACAGGTAACAAGCTGAGATTAGGAGCACTCCCTTTAAGAGTGTGCTTCTAATCTCCGCTTGTTACCTGTATAAAAGACACCTGGGAGCCAGAAATCTTTCTGATTAAGAGGGGGTCAAATACTTATTTCCCCTCATTAAAATGCAAATCAATTCATAACATTTTTGACATGCGTTCTTCTGGATTTTGTTGTTGTTATTCTGTCTCTCACTGTTAACATAAACCTACCATTAAAATTATAGACCGATCATTTCTTTGTCAGTGGGCAAATGTAGAAAATCAGCAGGGGATCAAAAACTTTTTTCCCTCACTGTATATATTCTAATGAGAACTATGAATTGCTTCCAACATGTATTAATTAAAATGTTTTAATTGAAATAGAACAATCGAACATAGAACAGTTAAGTTAAATAAAAAAAGTTATAATAATAAAAAATAAAACTATTCCATGAACAAGGAAATAGGACTTTTAAAATCGTCGCATGTGCGACGCGTGTGAGCGACACGTGTGAGCGACGCGCGTGAGCAACACGTGTGAGCGACGCGCGTGAGCAACACGTGTGAGCGACGCGTGTGAGCGACGCGTGTGAGC